CCCCCACCCCCCACCCCCGTGCCCACCTCTCTTGGGCTCCCTTTGCCCACCTGGCCTTGAGTTGGCACTCCCATCTAAACGGCACTCCCGGGGCACCCGCGTGGCTCAGTGGGTTGAGCATCCAACTCTGGATTTTGGCTCAGGTCACGATCTCACAGTTTCAGGAGTTCGAGCCCCTCTTGGGCTCCACTCTGGAGCCTGCTTAAAATCCTCCCGCTTTCCCTGCCCCTCCCCTGCTCACATTCTGTCTCTCTCAAAATAAATACATAAACTTTAAAAATAATAGTAAATAAATAAACGCCAGTCCCATGTGCTTCCATCCATTCTGGTGACCAACATGAATTGGTCACCTGTCACGTGCCAGGCCGTTCCAGTCACTGGGGTCCTGAGGGTGAACAGAGAGAGAACACAGCTGCCCCTCCCTGTGGGGCTATAATCAGCTGGGTCAGGGGAACAGGGGAGGTGGAGGGTGGAAACTGACAATAAACATGACAAATAAGTAACTTATAAAGCACGTTAAGAGATGACGAGCCCACTGAACAAACAGAGCAGGAAAGGGGAATCAGCGTGGAGGACAAAGGGAGGAGGGGACTTTTAATCAGGGCGAGGATCAGGAAAGACCTCCCCGGGAAGGTGATAATGAGGCAAAGAGCCGGAGGAAAGGAGGGCAGAGCCATGTGGGTGTCTCCGGGAAGAAGACTCCCACAGGGGGAGCAGAAACTCCAGGCCCGGCTTGGGGGTGCAGGTAGCCCCGGGTGTAGGCTGGAGCACAGGAACGGGGCAGGAGGGGGGCTAGGGAGTGGGAGAGGTAGCAGCAGGGCCATGTGTCCCAGAAAGGACTCCAAGCTATCTCTGTGAGCCATGGAAGGTGCTGAGCAGAGAATGGACAGGATCTGATTCGTGTTCTCAGCATCCCTCTGGCTGTGTGCAAAATACACTGTAGGGACCAGGGATCCCAGGAAAGAGGTGCCTGCGACCGTCCCGGCAAGAGAGAACGGTGGCTGGACCAAGGTGAGGGCAGCAGACATATGAGAAGTGGTTTGATTCTGGAATCATTTTATTTTTTTAATGTTTATTTACTTATTTTGAGGAAGAGAGCGAGGGAGAGAGAGAATTCCAAGCAGGCTTTGTGACGACAGACCGAGAGATCATGACCTGAGCCAAAATCAGGAGTCGGACACTTAACCGACTGAGCCACCTACATGCCCCGGAATAATTTTAAGTGAAGAACCAACCAGATTTCCTGAGGATCATTTGAGAGGGGTTAGAATGTGGCTGAGTCTCCCAGACCCCAGCAACTGGAAAGGTGGATAGCTAAGAAGGGACAGCACTGGTGGGCAGGTGTGCAGGGGAAAGCAAGAGCCCAAAGAGGCTAAATCTTGATGGGTTTCCACCCCCCAAAAAAGAAATGATAATTTCGCAAGGTGATAAAGGTGTTAGCTTAAGGTTGTGGTGGTAATCATACTGCAATATTATAGATGTATCAAATCAACATGTTGTACACCTGAAGCTTACACAATATTAAGTGTCAATTATAGCCAATAAAATCAATAAAAAGAACTTAAAAAAATCAGGAGCCACTTTGGGGCATAAATTTGAGACACCTATCAGACACTCCAGGGGTGGAGTCAAGGAGGCAGCCCTTCTGGGGTCTTGAATCCAGGGGTGGGACCTGGAATCTGGGGGGTGGGGTCTAGAATCCAGGGGCATGGCCTGGAGTCTGGGGGCAGGAGTCTGGAATCTGGGATGTCGGGTCTGGAATCCAGGGGCGGGGTCTGGGACCCAA